CGTCAACTGAATAAACCGGTTTTTTACGAATGTTACCTTCAGTAGACCACACTGCCTCGAGGTAGGATGCTCCATAAACTGAACATGACAAATTAAACGCTGTACCCCTGGACACAGCAACAGTTTCTACAGACACCCCACATAACACGGGGGTGTCATCAGAGCAAATTGAAACAGACTTGAAATAAATCGCTTTATTATCTGTTTTTATCTGAGTGGTAGTGTTAAACCTCATGAACGACAACTCTTCCCAATTTTCTTCACTTTGATAGCTGTAGTTACTACCATGAGCATTTCCTGGTTCTCCCAAATAAATCCGATAAAAATTGTCCTCAGCCACGTGAATATCGGACACTTGTATGATAATGTCAGCTCTGACCTTGTTGAACAAGCTGTAGGCCGAATAGCCAGTACTGGATTTACGTCCAGTGTCATCTTCAGCAAACACGTTCAAGGTGGTGATGTAACCTTTTTGAGGGGTGTAAAACTGTAGAACAAGAGGATGAACATCCTCGTTTTGCATGAACCTGATGTACTCCCACTGGGCTTTATAGCCGGGAATGTAGGCTGCTTCTATTGTCACCACTCCTGTAAAGTTGATGGGAACTATTGTGGGGGTGCCGTCTTGTACCTCCTGGAGTTCTAGAGACCCCCCTTTGTAGGCTGAATAGCATGTTTCTTTACAGCATTTGGACGTGCTCAGAAAGAGGGCGAGTATAACAATCAACACGTTCATTTTTGAGGTAATCTTTAACTCCACAAATCTAACGGGAGCACCTAAAACACTGAAAACACCAAGCTTTTGTGACATCTTCTCGTCAATTTGTCGATGGTCATGTGGTTTTCAGCCTGTAAAATATATTCTCAAAGTAATTGATGAAGTTTATACTTTTATATAGCACTCTGATTCAAAACTGGCGTTTGACTATTTCAAATAAAGATTGAGATTTAACTTGAAGAACTAACGCATTTTTTACGTTATTTCGTTATAGAATGTTGCGCCTTCTACAGTAAACTAGTTGAGCGTCAACGGCATAACCGATAACTGATAACTGAACACTGTAATTGTTAAAAAGCTTAAAGAAACACTGGCGAGTGTTATGAAACAGAAAAGTAGACCGCTGCAACAAAGGTCACGATAGCGAACGAGACCAAATCACAAATAAACAAATTTATCTAAGTAAAAGTATTAAATCAGCAATTTTTCGTTCAAAATTTCTGCCAATAATTGACAGCAATGTCCGAATGAACAGCGATCAGTCAATGAAACTAAATGTCTATTTTGCAATTTGACGGCTCCTAAAATAAGTAAATGAAGGTGTTGATATATTCGAACTTTGTGGGCTTGACATCTACATGCCATGCTTCTGCAACCTCATGAATTCAAGTACACTCTGTATATTTGTTAGTGTCACACACGAATTATTATTGAATGTTGAAGAAGTTAAAAAGCTAACATCGTGTTAGTTATACTATCACAGCCTTACTCGATCTTAGTAACAATATTATGTAAAATATGCGGTCAGTTAAAATGTCACGATCATCTGTACGGAAATTTTATGAGCTCTGAACTAGAGACAGTTCCTGTCTGCCATCGCCCAGATCACTATTTGGTGCGAGCCGAAATAATCGTCATGTATCTAGTAAAACAAGTTAGAATCCAAGAAGCCCAATCAATCCACATGGAATTCCACAGGAATTACACGGAAATCGCAAAAGGAATCAAACGAGAAATGGTGGGCTTCCTGGATATTGCCAAGGTTTGTGCTCCAAAGAATTGTAGCACAAACATACCGCCTTGGTATGTCAAGTTTAAAAACAAAATGTGTAAGTTGCACAAATGCAGAATTTTTAGCGACGCGTACAAACAATACAAAGTATGTTCATGGAGCCTTATCATCAATACCTCAACAGCTTGACCTCTGAATTAACCACAAAATTAAAAAAATGCTTAAACTGAAAACGCTGACTGTAAACTTTTAAAGGTTCACATTGCTTTTTAAGAAACATGAATAAGAAGGCCAATAAAATGTGTTTAAAAAAATCGAAAATTTATCAACCCATAGATAAAAACGCAGCTAGCCACGGTTTATTTTATTTTACATAACTTATAAGCATAAATTTAATGATGATTGATATGCTGCTGATCGGGATTGCTTTGCAACATTGGAAATACACAAACCGCAGTGCTGGTATCACTAGGACTAGCTGCGTAAAGCACAACCGTCATTGTCTCACATTGCGACCTCAACAGAAACTATTTTTCAAATAGACGGCCCCTCCCAGGCCAGTCAAAGTCTGACAAGACCGTCAGCCTTTATATTATACTTACTGGGCTGGGCTGCGCTCAGTCATTCCGCCGAATCCCTATGTTTATGAACATAATAGCCTGGGGTCCCCAGATAATATTATACCCCCTTAATACTGCCGTTTTCTCAGAAAAGGCAGTAAGTCCAATTTTTCGAAATATGACAATATTGGTATCAAAATTTTCAGTAGAAAATTCTCTACAACATGAGCTACATATTAATGTATAGAAACATTGTTGCATGCAATTTCTAAGGAAGTAAGTCCCAGTTGAGAAACATTATGTTCGGTTTTGGCCAATTATTTTCTGAGAGAAGGACGTAAGTCCGGACTTACTGCCTTTTCTGAGAAAATCTTGAAAATCTTCTGAGATAAGGAAGTAATTCTGTGGACTTACTGCCTTTTCTGAGATAAATTATCTGTGATAGGAAGAAGTAGCTGGACTTACTTCCTATAAAAGCATGCTAAAAGCGGAATTTTAGAAAGCGATTTCCCAAAAAGAACATAACTTTACTGCCGATTGATATTTTCGCTAGAAATTTTCAGAATCGATGTATAATTACATTTCAACTTTACTTAAGTGATCAAAATTTTCATTTAGGCCTCAAAAAAAATTTGGTGGCCGATTTTCAAAAACGCCGGATGTATTTTAGTCGCAAAACATAAACATTGGAGCAGTTATTGAGCTGTTATAATCGCAGAGAATGTTTAGTTTAGGTATATCTTTTAGATCAAGTTCATTTTCATCAAAATATCGATAAGATATCATTTAATGCACTGAAATCTTTCAAAATTGGCTAGTTTGCCTAAATAAGGGCATACTATTATTCAAAAACATTTATTATATGATATGGAGCAATTTAGATTTACCTAATTGTTTATATTTTACAATATAATCCAAAATACATAGATCCAAACCTCAAAAATTTAGTAAAAAGCTTGGACTTACTTCCTTCTCAGAAAAATATTGAACAGAGATTTTTCTCAGAAAAGGAAGTAAGTCCAAGTTTTCTCAGAAAAGGCAGTAAGTCCATCCAGTATGAAAAATAAGCTCGATTATTTGGCATAAAAATGGTTATATCTAAGCTTATGGACGGCTCAAAGCTTTAATTTTTTTGACAAATTAAAATTTGACCAATTATTGATAACTCAACGTGTTTACTTTCGATCTTACGCAAAAAGTAAGCGGAGAAAAAACCATAAACGTAAAAGTCGCAATATCTCGAAATGGCAAATATGGACTTACTGCCTTTTCTGAGAAAACGGCAGAATACTATTACTATTCATTTTCGTTCGGCAAGTTTATTTTTAGGTCAAAATATTCTAATTCAATGTTAAAGATGACAAAAATAAATAATAGCTGTATGGATATTACGATATTTGCACAAAATACTTGCGCAGTACTACTACTACTACTAGTACTACTACTACTACTGTCATACGAAACTCGTTAAAAGTAACACGGGGTACTCTTTAGAAACCCCAAAATCGCCATATTTATGTGCCTTAAAGTTAAAACCATGTTAAATTAAGTTAAAGATCTGAAATTTTGCAATGCGTCTAGACCAAATCAAACTGTAAACTAGAAATTAGCAGAAACAGTAGTGTGAAGCGGTACAAGCAACACTAAGCCATTAAACGGGCTGTCCATGTATTACGTCGGTGAATTTGTCTTATTTTTGATCAGCCTTCCCCTATTGAGCTGCTTTAGATTACAATCTTGTAAAAACAACCGACGCTTAAATAGTTATTTGCTACACGTTGCATGCCTCTAAAGAGGTATACAACGTGTGTCAAGAAGTTATACTTATAAACATTTTCAACCTGAAGTTGGCATTTTTGGTCCATTTAATGAAATGCACGGGATACCTACATACAGCTTGAAGACAAACAATTAACAGCACCTAACACGATTATCATTACGCATTACCAAGTCTATTACGCCTAATAACGTCCCAATTTTAGAATTAGAGTCGACAAATGAAAGTGTTCTATCTCTAGATTTATTAATCTTAAACAATGAATATTGAATAACAGCAAAAACGGGTACAGTTCTATAATAATCAGTAAGCACGTTTGTATAATAATAAAGCTGGACTTTAAAAAGGACTGAAGGATTCTAAAACATTTATATAAATGTAACTGTGTAACTTAAACTAACACTATAAGTTAAACTAACACTATAAGTTAAATACTTTAAACTAACTATAAATTAAACTCGCACTACAAGTTTTAAAGTAACATCATATTACCACTTTAAAGTAATTATACAGACACCACATTCTTCAGTTATCATATATTTATTAAAAACATCTTCATTTAAAAAATAAAACATCTTAATCCTACAGCACTACCCTAAGGACCTTACTCTACGATATCGTGCTAGTAATTAATAATCACGGAGCAAAATATCATATAGAAACTTTACGACAAACGAAAATGTGTCAAATGTTAAAAGTATAAACACATAGTTTTATAACTCAGCTTCCAAGTAAAGATATCCAATTATTTCCCTGCAGTCAGATCCTTTTGTCTAATTCAATGTGTCATAACTGATAACTAATTGACAGCAAATAAAATAGTTAGCAACAACATACGCTAATTCTCTATTGATCACGAGTTTTAAAAATAATATGTTGACGTTAAAAGTCTGAGCATTTTTTGAGGATTATCAAGTTGACAGTCCTGAAAATTCAGCGTCGTCTGTGCGGGGGAGGTGGTGCATGTGTGCTGGTTACAGCAACTCGTTTTGTGAAGGAGACTGTGTCGTTATTCTTTACTCCGTAGTGGATTAACATCCTGTTCCGGTCCGACAGTTTAATACTTCCGACTGACAGGTTGTATCTCCTCCACATAGACCTGGTGAGGTGGAGTGTGTTACAATCTGAGACACGAGACACGAGACACGAATACGATACAAGAGACACGAATACGAGACACGAAAAGGTAGGAAGGTGACGTAGAGTACGTTCGTAAAACATATCACCCCTGCTAGGAAGGTGATTGTATTGGGCACGGTCCAATAAAGTCATTTGAGATCTTCATCAATCAACGTTGTTTTGTGACTGTCAAGTAATTGGGATGTTACGTGGAAATTGGTGGAGAGGTTAAAATAAAGAGAAAATGGTGCCTACAGGGTATGTGGTCGGTTGAACTCAATACTAAACACTAACAGTACGAGGGTTCAATTTATTCAAGACCAGTCTTTAAAGGGGCATACGCCAAACCTTTCCAACCCAAATAACCTCATAGGCAGTTCAGTGACCATCTAGCGCACCGTTTCCACACCAAAAGAAATTATTTTGAGAATACCCATTTTTGTAATCGAGCAGGAAAATTTCAGCTATTTTTACTTTAATAGGTTATAACGCACCAGCCTTTTGAGATAGGGTAATGAAATTTTACACCCATGTAGAACAGTACAGAAACAGATTTTTTGAAAAATTGTAGCTTGCTATCTCAATAATTATCTAAATTATAGCGTCTCAACCAAAAAAATTATTTTCTCCGAAAATTCCACTCTAACCAGGAAATGCTCGATTACAAAAATCATGGGTATTCTCAAATTTTTTTTGTGTGGAAACGGTGCGCTAGATGGTCACTGAGCTGCCTATGCCCCCTTAAGAGGCAAAACTCGGAACTTTCGTTATTTTAGAATTCCGATGACTGTAATGCCACTCCTACATAAATGCTACTCCTAGATAAGATAATTCTAGATTTCAAGAAAATTCTAGATAAGGAAATTCCGTACGAATAAAGATAAAATATTTGAAGACTGTAATATGTAATATCTGTGTATTTGCTCGTCGTTACTGTGATTTGTTTAGGTGACACTGTCATGTCCACTAAAACCTTTAATTGAATGTTTAAAGCTTTACCTCCAAGAGTAAGCTTTGGGTAGGTCAGGGGTACTTCGTTTTATGGCTTTAGTTACTATTCTTTGGAGATCTGACACTCGGGCGTTGTGTAACACTGACACTCTCATCTAAGAATAATAATAAATCTATCTTATTATTGTAAATTGAATTAACTTACTGTACAATATAAATATTGACATTTTGTGGTACAATAAAATAAATGTACATAATTGGTTTCTGTAACTATAGAATTTATTAACTAACGAGGTTAATTAACTAATTAATTAATGAACTAAACAGATTATAATGACCTTGTTGTCCCCGGGTCTAAGCAGGGTTAGGTCTATAACATGTCCCTTAGCTCTTGCTATCTGACATCTCACATCCTCCGTGTCCACGTCCTGGAAAGGCTCAGGATTATATTTTACCATTTTAAATCGAATAAGAAATAATCCAAAATAGAATGTTTGAGACTTTCACTCTACCAGTACCATTATTCCTGCTCCCGAACATTTAGGATATAATGATATAAGTAATAATATCTTCTTGTTGTTCCAATAGAGACAGAGTTGAGATAAGAGCCGTGCCGATTAATAATATTTGGTAAAAGTATTCGACAAACAAATCAACCATCCCACACAAACCTCAGGTAAGTCAGCCAGTAACGGATCTCCTAATATGTCCTGCAATAAATCATACGCTTCTTGTAACATAACGGCGGGACTCACAACATCTATACACCCAGTTTAAACTTTCAGGAATATTCTGATATCAGGGTTGAGAGCAGTTGAAATGGATTTGTTCAGCTTAGTTCGGGGGAGGATAAATTGTAAAATTAGTGGGACCAAGGGTAAGGCGGAATTGCTGTTTCTACACTTCATTAACTTTCACCGTTTTCTACAAGCACCGTCTGTAATAAGTCTATCAATCCATCCTTAAAGTGGTATTGTTTTAAACTATTAAAGGAATAAATCAAACTGGGATGTGTTCTCTGAACCGAGTTTATTATTTTATTCAGTATTTTGGATTTGCTAATAAGAAGTGATTATATTTTAATCATTTAATTTCCTTCGCAATTCCCTAGCCTTTGTAATCTTTACATTGACTTTCAATAAAGAATACAATAAAACACAATAAAAATAATTCATGAAATGCGTCCAAATATAGCTTTTAGCTATACAAATAAATAATATGTCACTTCCAACAGTATCCTAGGATATTTCAGCATTTAGAACCTTCTATTCAAAGCTCTAGAGTCACCTGCACGCTGTACATTCTGAGAAGTTAGTACACAGCTTTAATAATTCAACTTTATGATCTCGTAATTCCTAACTAAACGAGACCAGTAAAATTCATATAATTTAACCCTCATGACGAAGAAACAGTTTTTTTACTTTTTTGTGTAAGAAGGTGCTTGTATTTTGCCCTCCATTCCGGTTTATCAACTGGAGTAGTACTACCCGACTGCTTGTAGTGTAAAAACCGGGGATTGTCCTCTATTCCTGAAAAGTTTCACTTAATTAGTTTATTACAATTAATTATTAGTTGTCAAGACTTGAATTAACTTAATTCGATCATCAATTCCTGGACAGTTTTACTTAATTAGTAAAATATTATTTTGTCAACACTTGAATTAACTTTATTTGATCATCAATCTAGGCAAGCCTCGATTCAGAATCGTAGACAATCCTGTCAAAACTCAAATTTCTCCCTGAACCAATTGGCTACAAGTAAACTACAAAGGAAGCTCCTAGTTACTAGTTATTTACCTCTCTCGAAGCTAAAACCAGTTTTGGCTGTGTATCCGGACAGAACAAAGTCAAGTCTATCGTTCATACCCTCACTGTACATTCTCTTATGCTCCATAAACCTGTAGTGCTGTCTCCACCTACATCAAATACTATAGTTTAGTAACCTACATCAAATACTATAGTTAAGTAATAGTAACAACAGCTAACTCAAACTAGGCAGAAGTTGATTCTTTGGAAAGCAGTCATCAGTGAATGAGTGAAAAGAAGGAGATTTTTAAAGAGGATAAATTCTATGCATAAAATCTCGAGATCTCGTAACCCTTATCGGTCCGAGCAAGTCACATCGATATCTGTATAAAACTCGATATCTGTATAAAACTCGATATCTGTATAAAACTACTGTACTACAGTAGTCTTTAAACATACTCACGTTCTTGGACGTTGATGTTGCTCGTGAAAATTCCATTGGTCTTTGTATCCCTCCTTCTTGGCGTGGGTCATCAGTACACTTCCTGTATATAACCCGGTTTGAAATGTTTGTTTAACTAAGGAAAAAAAATATTCCAAATCAGTCGAATCAGACAAAATATGGGAGAAAGTTTCCTTTCAAAGAGAATCAGACATACCGGCTGAAACGAGCTTCTTTTTCCCTTCTTTTTTGCCTAATTTTACAGTTCTGTTGGTGAATCGGGAGATTTGCTGCAGCACATTGTGGGACATTCTGCTAAGATGATGTAAGTTAATTGATTGCTTTGGCAGGTAACTAATTGACTTAATTAAGCGACGTAAAGTCTTGCAGTCGCATATTAAATGATGTAACTTGTAATACTTTCAATACTCCTTTATTTGATAAAAGCATTAAAAAGTGAGTAAAGTCACGTGCGATTAGTTTATCAGCGAATTTAATCCCAATTTTATTTTTAGGTGGATAAAAATACTATTGCATTATCAAGTGTGGGAATTTATTGATAAGTTTATTTACTTAAAGTTGGTCTTGAAATATGTCATTGTTTCAAATAGAATTTGTGCAAAATTAATCCTACGAAAAAGATTTCTGAATAAAAGACAGAAAACTCTTGGACAAGTAACCACACAAATACATTATAGTTCACATAATCAAACAAATTATCTCAAACAACACTGAACAGATAATCAGCACCAAAGTGTCTGTACAAATAGTCCGTATCAAAAATAGCAAATTCTTATCTATTTTACATCGATCTTTCAACATTAAAATATGATTCCATTATTAATGATTTAAACTAATCAATCTAATTTACGGGTTAGAAATTTTCAAATACTACATCAAAAACTTATTTATGCATGAACGTTTAGCAATAACATCGAAATAAATTCTCTTCGGGGAGCCTTCTTTTTTTACAAAATTCTAAGATCTTGATGCTAATTTTACATTTGTGACAGCATCATAGAATGTTCATGACAGATAGATGAAAACACATAATGAAACGTGAAACCAACAACAGAAATCACGAGATGGATTAATGAATACTTATCTAAGAACAGCTACAGATAACTTATATGTTTTTATAACTACTATGAAAGATGTTAAAACCAAAAAAGCCCATTGTAAGTTCAAGGTAGGATAATAGCTTGCTTTTCAAGACGAACCAGCTTCAGGTTAGGCAAGCTATGTAACTTGTAAATCTGTTAAGGAGGGAGAGTGTGACGTCACGTGAGGGAGAGTGTGACGTCACGTGAGGGAGATTGTGACGTCACGTGAGGGAGAGTTTCTCTTCTCAGATCGATTCTCCCATCATTGCTCCAGGCAAATCTTCGTCCTCTTCCTGGCAGATAATGGTATGATTAATGACATTAATAAATGTTAAATAATATAACAATAAATATTAATATCAATTTCAATTGTCCAAATTATCAAAGTCTGCAAGAAGTATGATGCTTAGAAATGTTGACAAAAACTTGTGAATTAATTAGTGGAACGTAATATGCTCGCGAAACAGTTGGAAAAGGCTTCTACGTGACACCAAGGGTAACTACAAAGGACAATCACGATCATGAAATTGGATATTAGATATTATACAAATAAAAGCTGAATTAGCTTGCAGTTCCAAAGTTTTTCTTAGATTAACTTAAAGTGCAAAGAGTGCGACAGATCAGGTTTACGTATTTGATGCTTGGATCGAAGAAAGAAATATCTATAATTAATTAATAGATAAAAAGTAAAATGATTTACAGACAAGAATTTCAATTACAAGAATCAGGCTGCTATTTTCTATTGTATTGATGCATTTTAGTTAATGAAACAATTTTTACTAAGGAAAAAAAATTCGTTCAACCCCAAAATATTCCTCGAATACCAATTTGTTGTTCACTGCAGACATGTTCGCTTCATTTTGAATATAAAGTACCCAGTAGTCATCTCCAACAAAAACTTTCACATAAACGCTGCAATGCTGAACCATTGTCAGAAAAAGTGGCCAGTAGTCGGTGGACAATGTTAGGACATCTATTGCAGGCAGGGACAAAAGGATTTCGCGATTATTTTGGCCAAAAATCGCGACACCGCGATTTTTAACAAGCTACCTTACTCGGGATTATTACGACGGGTTTATTAACGACCGGTTAAAATATGGTTCGGGAAAAATATGGCGAAATTGCTCAAAACCCACCACATTTTCCCGGTCGCCATTTTACCGGTGTCCAACCTTTCAATTTTAGATTCAAAAATTTTGTCTCAGATGTAAATATCCTTATTAGAGACAAGCAAGTTTAGAAATTTTCGCATTGCTAAAACTTGTGAAACAAGTCGAATTATCAATAATTGTTGAAAGTAGACAAAAATAACCATTATGACTCAATTTGTAGAAAATCTTCGAAAGAATGCATCGTTCACATTGTTTAGATTCTTAGAATTATGAATAAATGACTGATGAAACTGATTCATGTTATTGACAGTTTTAATTAATTCAAGTTTTAATCTAACTGTTTACTTTGAGTCCTATTTCATTATGTAGAGATAGTCAATACCTAAGAAATTAAAGATTGGCCTATTTAAATCAACTTTGACAATAAGGATATATGACAAGAATTGGGCAAAAAGGTGAATTTTTTGCAATTTTAGCCAAATGAAGTCGAAAAACCTACAACAAGTGTCCCAATAGTCTTCTTTAGTGAATATAAGACAACGATTAAAATATGAGCACCCATACCCCTTGGGAACCCTAAAAGCTGAGACGGCGGGTTTATTAACGACCGGTGAAAATGTGGTTCGGGAAAAATATGGCGAAATTACCCTAAACCCGCCACTTTATCCCGGTCATAATAATCCCGAGTAAGGTATACATTAAACTATACATAAAATTTGTCGTAAATTATGGGGAAAATCGCGATTCCGTACATGCCGCGATTTCCTTCTGTCCCTGATTGCAGGGTTCTGTTGATGGACCAGCGTTTTCTTCCCTCATTTTTGTCATCAATACACTGGACTTAGCAGGGAGAAGAGGAAAATCACAAGCAATCTATTCTGATCGCTGATTGTGCATGATTTATGTAAACGAAATCTATCTAATATTAATATTTTTGATCTCTCTTGTCTCCGTGATTTAGCTTATGGCAAGATATATTGACTTTTAGTTATTTGTTTTAGGCAAAGATGAGACTTGGGCGTTTTTTTAAACTATCCGTTGTTTAGAAATTTTATTGGGGGTGTCAACTGTCGAACCCCAAAAAATCCAACTCCAAAATGGAAATTAGAGGTGTTTTGGGTATTTTTGGGTTTTTAAATAATTGAACAAATAGTTACAAAAATAAGGGGGATACCAAAAAAAACCATAAAAACAAACCCAAATTGGAATTTGATGTAAAAGGGTTTTTTGGGTTTTTGGGGTTGGACACCCCCAGAAGTAACTGCCCATACGCAACCCTTTAATAACTCACGTATTCACGTAATTCTTTTTAGAATTGCACGGAAATTTCAGAGATTAAAGACATGTGTCAAACTTAGATTTCCTAAAAGTTTCGTCAAATTTAATTGATTACAGTGGGTGTGACACGCCAATACCTCTTTTTCGCTATTGTCACCATGAAGTGAGAAAGATTTCAGCTAGGAACTTTAAAGTTTCTAGACATAATATTTGGTTTGATAATTGAAGTGAGTTCCCAAAATTTCAAGTTGGTACTTGGTTGTTCACAATTCAACCGAGTTATGACCCTTTTAAGATATTGCAGATACGTGATCTCGGCACTTAATCAGTGATTTCGTCACCCAATCAGTAATCTCATCACCCAATCAGTAATCTCATCTGGAGTTATTCGCTAGCGAGCAACAATGAGCCTCATAAGGCGGAAACGATCTGATCACTTTTAGTGAATACTGATAGTGACGTTCCTTAAAACCGAAGAAATTCGCGTTATAGTGCTTCAGTTGCTGTCCTACAAGCAGTCTCCAACCAATCAGGATTCAGGGCATTGATTGAGTGAACATATCACTGATTAAGTGCTGGATTACGTATCTGCAAGATCTTAAAAGGGTCATAACTCGGTTAAATTGTGAACAACCAACTTGAAATTTTGGGAAAGCACTTCAATTATCAAACCAATTATGTCTAGAAACTTTGAAGTTCCTAGTTGAAAGCGTTCTCACTTCAGGGTGACAATAGCGAAAAAGAGGGATTGGTGTACCATGCCACAGATTATTCCATAAAAGGAGCGTGAGCCGTAAGCGGTGAGTGCCAACAAATTACTCTCGGCATATGCTCGCATACTAGTAGATGTAATATGTATACCTAGTATTTCTATGGTTTAGTTTGTTAGCAACCCTTTAATAACGCAAATCTTTAATAACTCACGTAATGACGTAATTCGTATCAGAATTGCTCAAAAATTTCAGAGAATATAGATATCATGGATATGTGTCAAACTTAGATTTCCTGAAAATTTCGTAAAATTTCATCGATAACATAGGGTATGGCACGGCATTCGCTCTTTTTCACTATTGTCACCATAAAGTGAGAACGTTTTGATATGAGCTAAGAACTCCAAAGTTTCTAGACACATTTGGTTAGATTTGAAGTGCTTTCCCAAAATTCCTAGTTGGTTGTAAACAATTTAACCGAGTTGTGACCCCACATCCAGAAACATAGCAGATCGGCAGATTATCTGCGAGGAAATTTTGGATTTCGGAGGAAATTTTTCACAAATTTTTCTGGGGTGAATAGAAGAGGAAACTTTCTAAAAAAGATCCAAAATTGTCGACAAATTAAAAAGGAAAAAAACTAACAGTTCCATGAATCGTTTTTGAAACTGTGTTTGAAAATGATCTATATTAATAATAATAATATTGCCAAATTGCTTCTAGGCCTTCTGTGTGGGCAAAATTTTCAACATCTTTCTGGAGTAAAGATGAACTTTTCAAACAACAATCCAAAATTGTTGACGAATCAAAGGGGAAAAAAAACTAACAATTCTTTGAATCGGTCTTGAAAATGTGTTTGAAAATGTGTTTGAAAATGATCTATATTGCCAAATTGCAGTTCTAGGCCTTCTGCTTGGGTACAATCGTCAAGAAATGTTGCCTTAAGTTGTCCGCACTCATACATTTCCTTAGGACATGGTTCCCTTTACTCTGCAAGGCACATATAATAATTTGTGATAACTACGACACAGGGGTGTAGGAAGCGGGGGGCCATCGCCCCCAATGAAATCTGGGCAAGGGGCCAAAAAGAGCCAACTTTTTTATTTAGGTTTCTAAATTTTTTTTTAAATTGTCAAATTTTTTTTCGGTTTTGACCGAAACTTTTCTAAGTCAAATTTTTTTTTGTTCATGGTACATGCTACCCTAATAACCCTAATCATTATGAGCAGAATATATTTTTTCGGTTTTCGAAGTTCGCACCTTCCCTTCGATATACGATTTTGGACTCAAGAGTTCCCTTTGTAATGCGATCTCGGAAGGCAAGCCTATCCTTCGCAATACGAGCTCGGAAGCGGGAGCTCTGCCTTCAGAGGTAAGTACTAAGTTTTATATCCAGTCAACATTTTTCAAAGTTTTTCTGGAAAATGCGCGATTTGTCGCGGAGAACTTTAAAAATCGCGATTTGTCGAGAGGATCTGAGATTTGTCGCGGCAAATGTGAAAAATCGCGATTTGTCGCGGCAAACGTGAAAAATCGTGATTCCGAACATGCCGCAATTTCCTCTTGTCCTTGTCTGAACAAATTTTGAAATTCAGGATTGGTACCGAGCATGTTGGATATGACGATTTTATCACTTAGAGTGAATACTGATGGTGACTTTCCCTAAGATCAAAGAAATTCAACTTCGGTAGCTGTCTTTGAGCAGGTTCCAACCAATCTGAATCAGGCCATTGATTGAGTGAAGAGATTACTGATTAAGTGTCTAGTCGGGACGCGATTCGGTATTTTAATTTTATGACACAATCACGTTTTGATTAGTTTCTGCCTACACATTGGCTGACGCTAATTAATTTGAAGTCCAGGACGTCTTAAATCGATCAGGCGCTAGTAAATCGAAGGATTGATTACAAATAACTATTTTAACGATAACGCTATTATATGAGATAACGCTGCCAACACTAGCTGTGTAGTGTGTAGTGTGTATAATTTTGTGGCAGTGTATTGTGTAACTTTATTAATTTTATTAGTCAGCTGTTTTTAAAAGTTTGTTTCTCTCGTCAATGGTGGTTATCAATCTCGTGGTTGCTCAGTTTTAAAAGTGTATGATATTGTTTTGAAACAAGGTTTGTTTAAAACCCGGAGGCATGGTGAGAAATGTCAGAAATGATGCCTTACAGTGCGGATGATTACAGGAGAGAGGTTTTAAGAAAAGCTCCCGAAGGTGGATATAACTATAAGTGCAATTTGATAGTTATTTATATTAGTGGGACGGGCGCCCATATCTTGACCACACCCGGTTCTAATTAACGCAAGTCAAGGGCAAATGAGTAAGAACAGCGTGAGTGAGAGAAGAGAGTGTGCATCAGGCATTATTTGCGGTTTCTACTTTCTCGTGTAAACGACATCCGGTGAGGATAATCTACATAGGATCATGAGAGTAGTAGTGCGAGAACATTCATATTTTGCTGATGTGTAAACGTTATCATGTTTATAACTTTGTAACATTACTATGACAATCGTATCACTATCATGCGCGGCTTTTTGTTGAAAAGTAATTTTATTGTAAAGTAATTGTTTTGAAAAGTAATCGTATTCCAATATATATATATATAGCGCGCAACATACCTATATAATAGCGCAATATAGGTATATAATAGCGCCAGTACAAAATGTTTTATTCTTTCAAAATAATATTACTACTCATTTAGTTTGATTTTCTCTAAATCTCACTGTGTATCTGTAAGCAAACTTTGTCGAAAGCTAGTAGTTGTAGTTGTTCAAGTGCATAATAGCAAGCAGAGTAAAGTCATTCACGACAGTCTTTTCGTTTGCATTATAGTTAGGGAGCGTTCACATACGTCAGGAACGTTCAGGCCATTTTTAATCTAACCTAAAAAACGGGGTCCGGACTCTACGGCGTAAGACTCTACGGCGTGAGGGTTAGGGTTAGGGTTAGAGTCTCACGCCGTAGAGTCTTACGCCACTACATGATGTTGCTCTACCACTTTGTATTATAGCTATTCTTAGAAATGATAAGAATAATAAGTACAAGAATAAAGGAATTAGTATCGAGTGAGAGGTAGCGTTATCAGTTTAATCTCTAGTTTGTTCACGAAACTCATCTTGGAGTAAAATTGCGTACCTCTTCGCAACCATTGAACTATTATAGTGATATATAACAACTTTAAACTTTATAAAGAACACACATTTAAAAACTTTCGCACGATCTTATTATATATTATTTTAAGGAACAGATATGACAATGATACAGGAACGGATCGATCTGAATGACTGCCCAAGATGCGCATGCCTCAATGAAAATTGGCTCTATATTCTCAGGCATTATTTTTGACGTTTGGACACATCAAAATAGTCACAGTTCTGAACGATTCAAAAGGCAAAAATTCGTGAGTCCTAAAAAAACTGCAGATGATATTGCTGGATATAATAGAATAAATGGCAGATTTCAGATCACCCAAAGAAAGTTGATCTTAGTGACTTTGTCTTTATTACTGAATATCTCCCAATGTTGTGAACAGACCTGCTTTTCAGCCTACAAAGGGGGGCCTCAGGATTACCAAGTCGGCACCCCCACAATAGTTCCCATCAACTTCACAGGAGTGGTGACAATAGAAGCAGCCTACATTCCCGGGTACGAAGCCGGGTGGGAGTACATCAGGTTCATGCAAAGTGATGAACTAGAGCCCCTAGTTATGCAGTTCTACACCCCAAATGATGACTTCCCTACAACGTTAATCATCTGGGGGGAGGATGAATACGGCGAGTATCCTGATTCAATGTACACTTCATACGATCATTTTGATGACAAAGATGCCAACATAACAATACAAGTATCTGATGTTCACGTGGAGGAAGAGAACGGTTACCAGATCTATTTGGGGGAACCAGGAGATGCTCGCAAAAAGATGTATAGTTATCAGACGAAGAGTAACTGGGAAGAGCTGGCGTTCATGAGGTTCAACACTACCACTCAGATAAAAACAGATAATAGAGCGATTTATTTTAAGTCTGTTTCAGTTTGCTCTGATGACACCCCTGTGGTATGTGGGGGGTCTGTAGAAACTGTTGCTGTGTCCAGGGGTGCAGCGTTTGATTTGTCATGTTCAGTTTATGGAGCACCCTATCTTGAATCAGAGTGGTCCTATATAACTGCAGAAAACTCTTCCGAACAACCAGTTTCTTCAGTTGATGGGTTTTTGCACACTACGAGTATGGCTATAAACAGTTTCAACGAGGTTCACATGGGAAAGTGGGAATGTCATTGGAGGAATAAAAACTTCGAAACAACCAGCACTAAAGTGTTTTATGTAGTTGAACTTGTTTCTAAACCTACACAGACAGTTTATCGTTTACAGGGGGAGTCAGATCAGGTCTTTAGATGGGTTATCAAGAACAAACTCTCTGAAGAATCTGGCATTGGATACGGTATTCTTCTAGATTGCGAGGGATATAATACAACTGTTGAGAGTAGTTATATTGAAAATAAGGAGAAACCCGCCGGCAGTCAGCACATAGCAACCTTGATACTCCCACCAAGTATAACTTCAGATTTCATCACCTGCACGCTGTCTCTTGTAGAGAATTCAGGAGAAAATGGCACAGAAATATTGGGAGTTTTGGATACCACGACACTCTACAGAGAGGGTTATCACTGTGAGGCAGGGAAGTATGGAGAGGGGGAGGAATGTGTAAAATGTGAGGATAGTTTAACGAGTGTTCCTCGAAGTATAACGTGCTTTCCTGATCGTAGTCCTCAGAAAGACTCCATAAATGAACATAGAATTGATTTGATGACTGAAAAAGTACCTGATTCAACGAATAAACCTGATTATGAACCCGAGAAAAGTCTTCCAACTGTCGCAATCATAGGGATTATCATAGGCGGGCTAGTAGTAGTAGTAGTTCTGATTGCTATCGTTTTAATTTATGTTAAATCACATTATATTAAGAGAGATAATAATGCTGCTATTTCGGTATAATTCCGACAAGATCTGATAGAGCCTCAATCGAACTTGAAGTAATTGAGTTTTCAATAAAATTATTTTAACGTTTACAAATTTTGTTCTCTTTTGTGTGCTGATTTTTTCTTAAATTTACAATTTTTCGCTAATATTCCTACTATTCATAGGCGGTGATATATGTTGAACAATTAACAGTTTGAACAATATTTTTCCTAAATTGCTTAACAAGTAATATTTCATTTTACTTATGCTTCTAGCATTCAGTATTCTGAAAAAAATCAATTACCACAGTAGATTGGGTCAAAAAGTAGTAGAGAAAAAAAGTCATAAGAAAGTGATTAATGCCAGAAAAGATGAAAGTTAAATCACAAGGAAATCTAGATTATCTTCCTAAAAGTGCCAAGGCAGAACCTACTGTGATTTGTCGTACAAAATGCCGTACAAGGTGCGTCAGTGTAACCTGAAACTCTGTTATGTGTTGGATCAGCTTTGACAGCACTAAAGGAACAAAGACGCTTCTCAAAAACGCTTGGAACTAACTGGAAGCTATGTATTTGAATGGATTGTTTTATTTGGGTCTTAATTCTTAAAATTAGTCCTTAAGACTTGAGAGCACTACAGCATTGGAAAAATTTGCAATGAAGTTAGCATGCCGCAAGTGAGGGAAAAACATTGAAAGTCTCAATATAATATGATGAACTCATGCGTATAACCCCTCACAGCACCAAAAACCCCTCACCCCCAGCTTTACCACCGTAGTTAAACCCCTCACCCCAGCTTTACCACTTAAACCCCTCACCCCAGCTTTACCACCTAAACCCTCACCCCAGCTTTACCACCTAAACCCCTCACCCCCAGCTTTACCACCTAAACCCCTCACCCCAGCTTTACCACCTAAACCCCTCAACTCCAGCTTTACCACCTAAACCCCTCACCCTAGCTTTACCACATAAACCCCTCACCCCCAGCTTTACCACCTAAACCCCTCACCCCCAGCTTTACCACTTAAACCCCTCACCCCCAGATTTACCACCTAAACCCCTCACCCCCAGCTTTACCACCTAAACCCCTCACCCCCAGCTTTACCACTTAAACCCCTCACCCCCAGCTTTACCACCTAAACACCTCACCCCCAGCTTTACCACTTAAACCCCTCAACCCCAGCTTTACCACCTAAACACCTCAACCCCAGCTTTAGCACTTAAACCCCTCACCCCCAGCTTTAGCACTTAAACCCCTCACCCCAGCTTTAGCACTTAAACCCCTCACCCCCAGCTTTAGCACTTAAACCCCTCACCCCCAGCTTTACCACTTAAACCCCTCACCCCCAGCTTTACCACCTAAACCCCTCACCCCTATTTACCGGGTCGTCGCAAAGTGTGCTGTCCTGTGGGATGTCGCCGTCACTGTAGAACCCAGCTAAACCGTCCGGCATGGTGTGCTTTCCTCCGAACACTGGGATAGGATCGTCGCTCTGAGAGATTAGAGTTAAACAAGATAGTGTGGGATGAGACATGATGTTGATAGAAGGAGGAGGGAGAGAGGAGGAAGAAGGACTAGAAAGGGGGGGGGGGTGGTGAGGGGGTGAAGGCCAAGGGAGGGATAGAAAAATGAATAGATATGGGTATAGGAGAAATTCTAAAGGCGTGGGAGGGAGAATCTGTACCACCTGGGGTCTGGGGAGGGTAAGTGTTCAAAAGGAAATTAAAGGGGAGGGACAGTTATATAATATAGGGGGGACTCGTTTCAATATTGCAACTTTAATAAGGAAGGAGATGCATGCGGGCCCTCCAAAAGTGCATATAACCACATTTCACCCATATTTTATACGCAGTTTCATGTATATTACCTGCGTCCTGCATCTACTTTACATTTTTACAACCATGTAGGCATGTAACGGTAGAGTCTAAAGCTGTCAATCATAGAATGCCACCTTGCAGGGGGGATATCAGTATGGGAAACTGTAATTTTCTTCCCGCTCGCAATATCGGCTTGCCAGGGCTAGCGCAGCGATTGAAGCAAGCTAGTTTTTGGGTATTTGTAGCTGGACCCCAGCGTTTTTGCTTGGCCACATTTAATTTTAAAACTACAATAACAGGATGTCCAAAAGCTTCCAAAAATCGTGCGTTACAAAATTTGAGAAATTAATATTTTAACGTGGCTTTCTCCGACAACCCACAATTAAAACAGATCCAGCATCTGCATTTTATTGTAGTTATCCTAAATTATTACATGTGTCGTTCAGAATAGGGGCAGCTATGCCCTTCAAAACGTTTTGCGCGCAGACAAATAAACTTTTGCACATACAGGAATTCAAGTTTTTTTGCCGCAGGCAAAACATTTGCTAGCGTACCGAGCGTTCTCACTTTTGAAAGGTAAGCTAAAAAAACCTCTCCAATCAAAGTCGAGGAACTATGTACTAAGCTACACAGTACACATTAACACATGGACACTTAAATGTTAAGAGACAGAGTGTCAGTATAGCAACTGAACACAATATATGCTTACTGCTTCATAAGAAAACAAACAAAAGCCAAGTAATATTATATGCCAATATCACTCAATCGCTCTATGAATGGAATTGAACTTTGAAGTTTTAATTCCCAACACCGCATGCACATATTTGCCAACTTGACACATACCAAAGCAATTCCAGTCAGGGCCGAGCTCAAGCTTGCACGTCGATCGAAATCAATGACTATACCCTAGCAAATATTAATTATTGTTCAACCCTCGCGAGGATGCATAATTTTGCTTCACCTCAAATTCTTGCTGTCAATTTTATTTTTCAATCATCTCTACCCACTGCAACTAAAACTCACCTCGGAAGAGTCATCTGTATCACTGTAACTCTGAGTTTCGTAAGCTCCAGAGGGCCAGCTCATTTGCCTGCGAGCAAACTCCGGTCTCCCGTGACCCTCATGGTCCTTGGGTGGGTCTATCCGGGACACCATGGCTGCGATGTCGGTGAAGGAAGCGTACGGGGATGGCGCGCGCGCCTGTGGGAGGTTAATGTTAATTTTCAGATCTGGTTAAAGATAAAATCACCAATAAGTAGGCACCCTAAGTATGAACGCCGTTTTATAACATTTCGATTTCGATTCTTCCTACAAAATATACATATATGTGTATACCTACTCATACGTAAATGAAAAATGCAAGTGTATCGTTTTCAAACAAAAAAGAGGGATCAGAGACAAGCTAATGCCCCTCCCTCCTCCCCATTGTACCGGTTACACAGCCCTACAAGGGGGGGGGGGGTGGGGTGGAGGGGTTGGGGGCTACATGTACAATACAACCTACCCGTGGGGTGGGGTGGAGGGGTAGGGGCTACAAGTACAATACAACCTACCCGTCTGTACTCTTCCTCGTCGACATCATTGTAGTTAACGAACGTTTTGGGGGTTTGGGTAGGAACTCCAGAAATACCTGGTTTAGTCTCCGCTAACATCTGTTGTAACACTATTCCACCTGCACAGGGGTAACTGGGGTTTAGACTTGCAGACTGGAACTTCAACACGGATAATCATAGCAATGCCTTCTTCGGTGTAATTTATATAGTAGTAAAATGTATCGTTTCTAAAGGAAATTAACGAAAAATGCATTACCTTTGACCCAAGCAGAAACGATATCAGTCCCGTGTTTATACCCGGTTTCTTCAATCTCATCAAAGCTTCCAAACTGCAATGTAGCGTATCTATCAATAGGGGGCCTGATGTGATAGCACTTCTCCATGCCCCCCTGACTCTTTATCTGGGCCAACTGGCGCTCACAGCTAACGTACGCCAACCTGCTCTGTATTTCAGCCATGTTGGGTATTTTCAGGGTTTTACCGAAGGGGAAGTAGCGGTTCCAGAGGACCCACCACCCGGAGAGGTCGTCACCGAAGTTGTCAAATTCGTTATCAGACTGAAGAAGGGGTGTATACTTAAATTACGAGATTCTTACATGATTTGAAAATTTATGATCAATCTTAAATTGTATTAGTTTATCATTATATTCGTTTCATTATTCTGAAAAATCTGAAAAATCCGAAAAATCCGAAATTCAGCCTACCAAAAACAAACCACTTCAGAATTATATAAACAAGTATAAATTAGATGAAGGAGTAACTGTACCTGACCGCCCACATCCACAGTGATAATAGTCTGAGCTCCCATTCTCTGTGACATGATATCAGCGGGGAGGTTGTTAACGTAGCCCCCATCAACCAGCAGGTGACCGTCTACTGGGTCACACAGAGGTGGCAGGTAACCGGACAGTGTCATACTTGCTCGTACGTACCTGGCATTAAATCAGTCAGGTTTAAAATTAAATAGTGCGTACCTGGCAAATCAGTCAGGTTTAAAAAGTGCGTACCTGGCAAATTGCAGTCAGGTTTAAATAGTGCATACTTGGTAAATCAGTCAGGTTTAAAAAGTGCGTACCTGGCAAATCAGTCAGGTTTAAAAATAATAGTACGTACCTGGCAAATCAGTCAGGTTTCATTATTATCTTATTATGTACTGTAACCAAATGCCAATTCCTGGTAAATCCTGGTATAACTAATGCCTTTCATTGCTTTATATCATTACTGTTCCCCATTTTAGGACAGGATATCTATTCTTTGAAAATGGTGCGGTGGTAAATTGAAACATTTCACAAACCTCCACAAGCAGCCCTCGGTGTGTATCCTAGCTTCACTAGCAGTCAGATCTGTAGACACACAGAAGTAGGGTATCCACAGGTTCTCAATCAGCTTCTCTCCTATCGCATCCTCAATCCCTGCAATTCAAACGCTCGGTATTACAGTGCAATCGGGGATTATGTTGGTAACAGCATAGAGTTTACTAAAGGGCACGTCACAGTTTTATAAATATCTCCGGGATTTCGACGCGGGATCATATTATCACTCAGCCCGGCCCGCTGTTAGATAAACATCTCAAGGTGATATCATCCCGCCCCGGAAATTTGTATAAACCCGGCCCGCTTTTTAGTCGTAACTGATGTTTATCATTCAATTCTCCGACTTACAATAATCAATGATACTGCTGATTAGAACTCGATAATAGTAGAACAGTTAGACGCGCGATACTGTGGGCGCGTCACGTGCGTACCACGTGCCACCAATAGCATACGCCGAGTCTATACCACGTGACACGAAAGCGCACCACGTGATATGAAACATCGTAACCGTCCACTTCTTTTACACGCAAATTCCTGGGAACAATGCCAAAGCAGCTAATTCTTGGAATTTCTCCAACGCGTGGCGTGAGAAGTTGGCGACTAGCCAGCTACCCTTGTCCGTGCCCTAAAAATAGTATTGTTTTGCTTGCTCTCCTTCCAGCTCTTGTTCCTGCTAACGTTCAAGCTATTGCTCCACTATGACAGATCGGTTTGACATTCAGATTTTAATTTACTACTGTTAGTACGTTATCGTATCACTTGTTATCACCATCACAAATAGAAATGAAAATATTACTAAAATCAGACCCGTATTCCGAAATAAAAACTATTTTATCATTCTCTTCTAAAGTATAAATCCCTTGTCGAAATCGCCGGAGATAATTATAATCCATAAACACTTCACGCTCAGGGCTAAATAAATGTAATCCCTCAGCTGGCGCTTCGGGATTACATATTAACACAAAACTCGTGCGCTGCGCGCACTCGTATGTGTTTATCAGATCATCCCGCTAGCGCGGGATGATCTGTTATATAAGGACACGTTCATTTGAGTTTGAGGATATTGGTAAACAAAAATAATAGCGTTTTTGACGATAGTGGCTTAATTTTGACATCTATTAACCTAGCACGTTCAGAAGTTCTGAACATTAGCCACGTAACCCATACTCCCATATGCACTGTTCAGAAAGAAAATCTATTGTTGTTAGGCACTATAATGTTTCAAATGTCACATTTTTGTGACTTAGTTAACTGCAGTTGTCTAATTATCATTCCTTGGTCTGAAACATAGTAGATTAGGTCAATCTAACAATTATGATACAACATTGGTTAAAGGGCACGGATCGAACGGTTACAAGGCAATATTTAGGTAACTTTGTCACACTCAGAATACCATACCTCTATTCTACTGTGAGGTGTCCTCAAAACCCTTTTTACTCATTATTTGATGGTTGATCTACCAAGTATGGAGTACCAATCATAGCCCTAAAATATGTTGCTTTGAATAGATAGCTATTACAGGCACTTGGTTATTGGGAAATGAGGTTAATTCTGTCACAATATATGGAATTTAAAATTTTGGGCGAATTATTTATATCTGATTTTGGTTTGAAAGGCGGAAAAACTTTACATGATGACAATGTAGTTGATGCAAGTTAAGATCAGTTGATGTTTACATTGTCACAAAAAATTATACGAAATCGTAAATAGGTTAAAAACAATGATTATATAATGAAATAGTCTCTTATAATAACTCTTATAATAACTGATGTGACAAAGTAAACATGTCTTGCCCCTATTTTGAAGATCTATATATTCTATAACTCTTTTAGAATTCAACATTCTCTCAGAAAAAATTGGTAGAATATTGTCCAGAACATCAGAGCTCAAGTTTAACAATTTTAGGTTAAATTTGTCAAAGTCACTAAAAATGTGACAAAATTAACTTTTCCTGCCCCAACAATTTCAAGATAGTGTGTAAAAATTAGCATAGGCTGCCTTATTACCTAAATAAATCAATCCAAACTACAAAAAAATATATGTTAATGTGATGACGATTACCCAACTGTAATAATAACTGATGTGACAAAGTAAACATGTCTTGCCCCTATTTTGAAGATCTATAACTCTATTAGAATTCAATACTCTTTCAGAAACGATTGGTAGAATATTGTCCAGAACATCAGAGCTCAAGTTTAGCAATTTTAGGCTAAATTTGTCAAAGTCACTAAAAATGTGACAAAATTAACTTTTCCTGCCCCAACAATTTCAAGATAGTGTGTAAAAATTAGCATAGGCTGCTTTATTACCTAAATAAATCAATCCAAACTACAAAAGAATATATGTTAATGTGATGACGATTACCTAACTCTAATAATAACTGATGTGACAAAGTAAACATGTCTTTCCCCTATTTTGAAGATCTATAACTCTATTAGAATTCAACATTCTTTCAGAAACGATTGGTAGAATATTGTCCAGAACATCAGAGCTCAAGTTTAACAATTTCAGGTTAAATTTGTCAAAGTCACTAAAAATGTGACAAAATTAACTTTTCCTGCCCCATCAATATCAAGATAGTGTGTTAAAATTGACATATGATGCTTTATTGCCTATATTAATCGATCCATACTACGAAAAAGATCGGTTAATCTGATGACGATTACCTAACTCTTATAATAACTGATGTGACAAAGTAAACATGTCTTGCCCCTATTTTGAAGAACTATACCTCTATTAGAATACTATGTAATTTTATCATCAAAAAAATTTCGATAAACTAGTTATTTTGCCAGCAAGGAGCTGACAGAATTATAATTTTTTTGTGACAAAATTACCCTATTTTTGACCATGTTGCGGTAGTTTAATTGTGACACTGTTAACATATTACCACCCGATAATGATTTATGTGACTGGTGCATGGTACTAGCAGTGTTGTTTGGTCCATAGTACGTAATACAAAGGGTTTAAGCTGGTATATCATTATTTGTTCAATTTCACACATGTTCAGATATCATCAAGATTGTGTGACAAAGTAAACTTGTCTGTGCCTTCTGTGTTTTAATTCCTTGCGACTATATGATATAATAACAATTCCTAGCACTTCCAGGCCATTAACTAAACCTACACTACTCAGCATTGCTTATCAGGGTTCCCTAAACATTGTTCACATATTTTCTTAAATGTGTGACAGAGTAAACCTGAGTGCACCATCTAACGAAAAAAGTCTTTAAATATGTAGGTAATGGTCATATGTACCCATCCAATCAACTGGACACTCAAAATTTTGGTCAAAAACGGCAGCAAGGGGTCCATATTTACTCTGTCACATGTTTATAGTGTGACAATGTAACCATTTCCGTGCCGGCCGTATTTAAGCGATATCTTATCACCTGATTAAGATATCGTTATGTGACAAAGTTAGCCTAGAGGATGAGACGATTATCCTAACCATCAAGGGTTTGTGTAATTTCATAGTGTGACAAAGTCAACTACACTGTGCCTTTTAATAGGGTCACTTATATTTACCAATATCCTCAAACTCAAATGAACGTGTCCATAAACCCTTTGCGTGGCGGGTTTATGTTATTATAATCTCGGCAGATATAAACAACCTCCATTCTCCTAAAGCTCAGTGAGAGTCTGTCTACTCCTTATTCCTTAACCAACACCCCGACCATAACATCAACCATTATCTTGACAACACACAGTGCAGACTCTAGTAAAGAATCCACAAAACGGCAGCAGTGTGAAGCAGCCTGATAGAGAGGCCGGTGGTCGGTATTGGTCGTATCTACAATCTTACATATTCCCTAACATAGTATAAATAGTATAATAGTCGTACCATTCAAATACTTCAACATATTAGCCTCATATAATTCCTGTTAGGTTTCCCTTGAGATGCAATAACTATTCAGCATGCATACCTATTCCACAGAAGTTGCGGATTCCTCGGAAACGTCAATATAGTACAGATAACTAGTTCCAGTATGTGACTGAGTAGTGAGTATCCTAAGACGTTATTTCAATTTGTTATAGGGTGTGTTTTAGTTATGTTCGAGGGATAAAGCTGGTAGTTTTGTTTTGTCGGTTTTATTATGAATCTTAGTTGTGGGTTCTTTGTACAGTGGTGCAATATTTATTTCATTGCTAATCATTTTATTGAAATTACCATTTTAACAATCAAACAGTCTTACTGTAACTTCAAACTAGTACAGTAAACTAGTTGCGGTAAAACACCGATTTACCGCAAACCCCGATTTACTGCAGACCCCGATTTACTGCAAACCCCGATTTACCGCAAACCCCGATTTACCGTAAACACCGATTTACTGCAAACCCCGATTTACCGCAAACCCCGATTTACCGTGGTTTTTTCCTTTCTCCCAAACTCCACAGTAAGTCGGGGTATTAAGGCGTATAGTCAAATTCTCACTGCTGCCGACTAACCTATGATTAATGATATAATTTTCACGTGGCACTTGGCAGAGGATAGATATGACAGTTTAAATCAGGACATGCATTAAGATCTCATCTAAATAAAGCAGCTCATTTATTGCTTGAATCAAAACAATAAACTCATAGATCTGAAATTTAATGAGAGTCACGAGATCGTCACCGCCAGCCATTCAAAACAACACCGCGTTTAAAAAAGATATAACTTTGCCACTTTGTCTAATTTCCAGGGATCTGGCTTTAATACGAGAACAATGAAAAGAGCTGCAACCTAATAACCTAATACGATTTGCTTGTAATGATTGGTAGTGGAGTTAGTTTCCTCAGAAAATAATAGGACATAATGAATTCTCGTGGTTTTATGATTGCTCCCTGCCAGTCTACTGTACTACTGTAGTGATATTATGAATTGGTGGTGATCATGAAGACATAGACAAGAGCCTATCACCTCAATAAATGAATTAGACTCGTAGTGTTGTAATTAGTTTAAAACTGCGGCCATCATTCGACAAACCCTAAAGTTCGACTCTGTCAAACTACAGTATAGTAGTAGTGTAAGTACACTACCTGGACTCTAGTTAAATCAGTAACCACTCACTATAATTTCACTCACATTGTGTATACACCATCTCACATGTATTGTATCTTTTACCTTATCATCTGTTATCACTGTACATGTCATTCCATCACACGATCACAATCACGTACTTGCTGTTTAGTTGATGTTTTAGGTTTATTGAATAGAAGATCGAGTATTGGTGTATATATAGATTATGATTCTAATTTTAGTCTAGTATTTGAACAATTTGTTGTCGTTTAGCCATTTTTGATTAATAAATTTTATGAGACAGTTTTCTCACATATTTACCAATTTTGTCAGCATGAATACGAAGTTGTTACTTTGAAACGTCGTTTATCCTAACAGTGCAGTATCATTTGTCGCAAAAAATCAGAATAATCAGAAATTATTTGGAACTCCCAAAAACTGTCTAGTTAAACACGTACAGAAGCTCGACAGCGGTGATTTCTGGCAGGGGGGCGACCGCCCCTTCCCCATAAAATCTGGAAAAGGGGCCAACTTTTTCAAGTAAATTAGCAGTATACAATCCAACTGTGAGCTGGCATGAACCAGAAATCTGATAATTTATATTACATATTCCGATATTACAAGTCAGGATTCATCAGAATATCAGGAACCTAGCAATTATAAAATTCAGATAACATTGCTGGTTACTCTTCTATGTCGTGTTCAGTATTTTCAATACCATAATTTTTCAATGAACCAGAAATCTGTTAATTTATATCCTACATAACCGAAGATACAGCCGATTTAAATGTTGCTCGCACTAAACACAACGTAATATCACCAAAACCGATAAAAAATCTTTGCACGTGCACGTGCGTGCAACAACCCTCGTCATCATGGTTACTTTGCAAGCTTTAGCTTTTTACCTAATTTGCACGTGGGCGGTCGTACAGACATTATTATACATAATTCTTCGAATTATGAGTAAGATTTATATATTTGAAATTTATTTCCCTCAAAAAATCTCAAAATAAAAGTTTAGGACTTGAAACAACAGGCATGGAGTAACGTGATGGAGTTTGTTCACTACCGATACTTCGCATTTTTCCTAACAACCTTCCTTATGTTCCACGACGCTTGCTCCCGTTACATCGGCCCACTTGCCATGATCGGGGGGATGGTCAAGAAGAACTGCTCTGACCCTCTGGATCATGGAGAATTCTGTTGGTCACCTAAACTTCAAGCCAACTTCATTGGTGCTTTCTTCTACGGTTGCGCTCTACAGATGATACCAACATACTTTGCAGGAAAGATCGGGTTCAGCATCTCCCTCAAATTCTCCACTCTAGTCTGTGGGATTATTCAACTGACAGTGCCTCTGACAGTAAGGTCTTCAGCAGTGTTAGCAGTTGCTCTTCAGACTCTCAGGGGGTTTGTAGCGGGGTTGTTCTTCCCCGGTAACATGGACTGTGCCCGGAAGTGGGGTCTAGGAGAGGAGGGGAAGTTAGTGTTATCTATGTCTGGAATCATGCTGTTCACTGGAAGTGGGGTCGGCCCCTTCGTGGTGGGGATGTTAACAGAGAAAATCGGGTGGACCTTTCCGTTCTATATCAGCGGTACCATCTTCATCCTTTTGTTCCTTATGCAGTGCGTTTTTGTACCGGACGACCCGGCGGAAGCTTGGCTCATGTCGGGTAAGGAAAAGTTAATGTTCCAGAGGAAACAGAATAAAGAACTGGATGTTCAGGAAAAAAATAAATCAGCTTCGTACAAAGTATCCCTATGTGTGATACTACGTCGCCGTTATCTGTATTGTCTCTGTATCTACACGGTCGCACATATTACAGTGTATTTACCGGAGTTTATGGCTGTTCCCTTTTACTTGAACGAGATTTTAGGAGCAGATACAGAGTTCTTATCTTACTTACAACTCGGATTAAGTCTTACAACGGCGGTGTCTGTAGCAGGCTGGAAGAGCATACTACCATTCCTGGATGCCAGGTTGTCTTGGTTAAAGTGTAGAATGGGTCTGATGATAATTCCTCTCGTTATAAGGAGCGTGAATCTCGCAATAGTTCCGTTAACTGGAAACATCGACGTCTCAATATTTCTCTTAGTAGTGAACGATATTTTGATGGGAACTGCATTTGCTGGAGGCATCGTTACCCTGAGCTACGAACTAGACCCCTTCAACGGCCCAGTGGTGATCGGAATATTGAACGGGTTGGGACAAACTGCTGGGTTTCTGGTTCCCCTGATCAGAGCAGGGGTAACAAGTGTGGAGGAGAGCGAGGAGGGGTATTGGGAGGAGTATGAGAGAAGGTGGAGGTGGTTCTTTGCGCTGTGTGGCGGGGTGGGACTGGTGGGGGTGGGAAGTTTGGTGGTGGGCCTGCTGTTGTGGAGAGATAAGTGGAAGAAACATCCTTCCCTTGTTTGGACTCCGTTGGAAAGGAACCAGATGATTCTGACTGATGTGTGCTTTTACCACCTTTCTTGTTTGTCAAATATCTTTAATTTCGAACATTGTAGAAGGCTGTGGATTCTTCGAGAGTGTTGTAATCGTATCAACGAGAAAAATGTTTGTTTCTAAAATTTTCACGCCAGAATATGAATAGGTAAATAATTGACTAATTACTAAAGATTTCAATCATTTTTGTTGGCTCTAAGTGATGGAAATAACTTAAAACGAGAATAAAAGTAGATTTTATTTACAGAGAAACAAAGTGACCTTCAGCTGTACAAAGTGACCCACGAAGCCCCCACTGATTTATATACTAATGATATTTTTTGATTGTGCCGTAAAAATAAATAATTGTTTTATTAAATAATTATTTTTATTAAACAATTGTTTTATTAATAACACCTACCCTTGTTAAACTGCTTTCCTCTAAACATAGCAGTAAAAGGATAAGTCAGATCGATGATTTTGTTCCACAGTTTGGACATGCCCGCTGAGAAAACAGCCGCTCTCTCCCTCATTGCTCCGACATCCGTTTCACTGGCGTACAGGGCCCCCATCATGGAGCCAATAGAGGTACCTCCTATCATATCTATTGGTATTCCTGGGGGAGAGACGTGCTGTCAATAAACAACCATTATTATTATATTGGGTTTCTCAAACTACACGATAGTTGGAATAGCATGTCATATCTAAACAGCAATATCAGTTATTTATAATAGAGATTGTACTGTATCTCTCAATTTTCAAAAACCCCGATAAATCATATTTTTAAGCCTATCAAATTGAGAGTTTATTGTAGTAGTATAGACACATGTCTGTGGAGTAACAAGGCTCATACCTCCAGCCCTGAGGCCCTCTCATACCAGTCATAATATCAGTGTTCTGGCACGTGATGCCCAAATAAGGTATTCTGGCACGTGATGCCCAAATAAAGTATGCTGGCACGTGATGCCCAAATAAGGTATTCTGGCACGTGATGCCCAAATAAGGTATTCTGGCACGTGATGCCCAAATAAGGTATTCTGGCACGTGATGCCCAAATAAGGTATTCTGGCACGTGATGCCCAAATAAGGTATTCTGGCACGTGATGCCCAAATAAGGTATTCTGGCACGTGATGCCCAAATAAGGTATTCTGGCACGTGATGCCCAAATAAGGTATTCTGGCACGTGATGCCCAAATAAGGTATTCTGGCACGTGATGCCCAAATAAGGTATTCTGGCACGTGATGCCCAAATAAGGTATTCTGGCACGTGATGCCCAAATAAGGTATTCTGGCACGTGATGCCCAAATAAGGTATTCTGGCACGTGATGCCCAAATAAGGTATTCTGGCACGTGATGCCCAAATAAGGTATTCTGGCACGTGATGCCCAAATAAGGTATTCTGGCACGTGATGCCCAAATAAGGTATTCTGGCACGTGATGCCCAAATAAGGTATTCTGGCACGTGATGCCCAAATAAGGTATTCTGGCGCTACATGCCCAAGTAATGTATTCTGGCGCTACATGTCCACTTACCGTGGTCCTCTAGAGCCTGCAAGATACCGATATGAGCAATGCCTCTAGCTCCGCCCCCACCTAGCACAACACCAATACAGGTACCAGTTAGGCGTCTGGCTACTCGGGCCATGTCGCTGTGCGGGTTGAAATCGTCCGGCTGTACCAGGGGACATTTTGTATTAATACCCAAAGCTTAGGGAGGGGTCACATGGTACGTCAGCATTTTTAACTTAACTATATTTAAGGCAACAAACTTAAATAAAAGAATGTATTGATAGATTAAATAATACGACTGCGTGAATCATTAATAAAGTATAACATTACCTGGAGAGGAGGCATATCCCGTAGAATATAATCCGAACACCTGACATGAAGATGAGAGCTAACCCAGCCCCTGGCATTGAGCCAAGCCACTGTGTTAGTCGGCTCCTTAGCAGTGTCCGGGTGCAGGAGGATCAGCTCCTTCTGTGCTCGCACACTCATCGAGTTCAGGGACACCTGTTATTGGAGGAATTTGATAAAATATAAATGAGTTGAACATATTTATAATAATGAGTTGAACAGGTAATAATGGAAAAAGAAAGACCCATGTTTTTAGACCTGGTAGTTTCTGAAGCTATATATTTAAACACTGTTATAACACTGTTATGTATAACACTGTTATACATAACACTGTTATGTATAACACTGTTATGTATAACACTGATATGTATAACACTGTATGTATAACACTGATATGTATAACACTGTTATGTATAACACTGTTATGTATAACACTGATATGTATAACACTGTTATGTATAACACTGTTATGTATAACACTGTATGTATAACACTGTTATGTATAACACTGTTATGTATAACACTTTTATAACACCCACCTCAATAGGACCATACTCCTCCGGGTTTTCACTAGCCACAGCTATAATGAGGATAACATCCGCCTGTCTGATACACTGTCGTGTCCAGGGGGTCATGGTGGGATCTGCCTGGTAGAGGACTATCCTGTTCTGGTCCTCCACTGAGTTCAGGTGGTTCGTCAGCTGACACTCGTACACACTGAAAATAGGGTACGGGTAGACTGATGTTCGTAGTGGAGGGTAGGGAGGGGGTGTAAGGGGGGGGGGGGGGGGGCGGGGGGGAAGGAGAGTGAGCAAAATATGAACACTATTAAATAGTTACAGTCTTTTGTGTAGAGGATACTTCGAACAGAACTGGGGATTACCCTCAGATGATCCAATGGGGATCAACTAGGCCACTCGTACCTTATTACGTAACTAGCTCTGTTAAACATTCGACTAATTAGACACACATTTCTAACGTTACAAAATGGTCCCTCGAACCAGAGTTAATGTCCTGACCGTAAACCTCTTTTCCCTTTAGCAATATGGAACAGGCCTTGGATATAAAACAGACAGTAGCCCAGTTTGGAGAGAAGATCGTGGAGGAAAATAACCGCCTCCGTGAGGGTAAATGCTTAGCTATTTCTATAATTTCATTTTTTCTCTCAGACTAAAACTTGCAATAGATAGGATCAGAACAACGTTTCTATGCTTCCCTGATTATCGTTAACTCAAATCCATCTCCCACAGAACGCAACCTACTGAGGACTCAGCTAACACAACTAACGGCACAATTAGAATTATCGAACGTATACTTTTTGCACCCTTTAACAATAATTAACTAATAATAATTAGACACAGATTTCTAACGTTACAAAATGGTTTGTCATAATTTTAACCCCCTTCTATTTAGAGCTAGTTATGTCAGATATATTAATAATTAACGCTGTTATAGTTGCGGTTCAGCAGCAGGTCCTACAGAGCGAATCCCTCCTCGCGGAAAAAGCGGAAATGCTGATGACTGTTCTTGCCACTTCAATAACAGATGGATGAATTCAAGGCTATGGACGCGCGCCTGGACCCAGCTACTATAACCGAGTACTGCCGGATGATTGGAGGAGATAGGAAACAATCTATTATCAGAACGTTACAGAGGTGGGTCGATTAGTAGTACTGATGCTTAGCAAGGGGGCTCTGAGTGAGCTAATTTTTGATTTACTTTTCGATGATGTAGTAGATTTTCACAACATTACAAGACCTACTTTTCAGCATTTTAGATGGACTCGAGGGTCCGAAAAATATGTTCGCTTTGAAAGAAGAAAGGAAAAAAGCCACTTATTGTTGGAACTGAAGCTGGTAATTCTTCATTAGCGAAGAACATCTTACCTCTTCACGTAGCCCACGGGACTGACATAAACCTTTATGAAATATGATGGAGCGGTTACCGTGACGACCACCAGTCAATAGCCAAATTTTTTCAACAAAAACAACGCCTTCTTTTTACAAAGCATGTAGAAGACTTCAGCAGAAGGAATAAATGATAAAATGATAGCTACCGTTTATGCCCCCATAGCGGCTGCTTCTCAATTTAACTTAGACGAGGAATATGTTATCCAGGAAGCCTCAGTTCCAGGAAGTGCGCCTAAAGACTGCTGCAAAATTTGGGAAGATAAGATACTTCAGAAAGCAATAGTAATCCACCACGATCTCAACTTAATTTAAAGGAAGTCCCTTCGAAGAGGAATGGAAAATTTGGACCAACAAAGCGAAAGATGATAGGTAAAGAGAAGAATGGCAAGAGGTTAGTCCTTTGTGGGAGAAAACTAGAGAGGAAAGGAGGAGATCGCGTTCCGAAATTTACAAAGAAAGTAACCAGGCCCAACCTCTGCCGGTCAGATCAGTATTATTGCCGTGGAATGGTACAAAAACTAATTTTTTTGTTTTCTGCTTCAACCAGCTAACCAGCCGTCTAAAAGCTCGTTGACAGTCTCAGCTGTTTTTTATATCACGTGAAAGTTGTATCCTGGGAATTGGATTGAACGTGGTCGGGACTGATTATTCCGGGATGGACCGGTTATGTTTCCTTAGTGATTTAGGGTTTAGGATTTTTCTAGTTATTTGTTGAATAGAAGAATAGAAAAGATATCTTTGGATTTCTGTACATTACTTTCACTTTTGATTTTTTGCAAACCTCGAAATTAAAAGCCTATTAGTTGTTCTGATCTAATGATTCCAATTTTACTCCCGTTTAATTCTCCACATGATCTAGTGAATTAATTGGTTCATAGCTATGAATCGTCAAATACTCGTGAAATATCCGTGTAGTGGAGCATTTGGACAGGCTAGGTTAGATATAACATACTATCATGGTTGATCCCTTCGAAAAGGAATGGAAAATGTGGACCAACAAAGCGAAAGATGATAGGTAAAGAGGGGAATGGCAAGAGGTTAGTCCTTTGTGGGAGGAAACTTGAGAGGAAAGGAGGAAATTGCTTTCCTAAATTTACAAAGAAAGTATCCAGGTCCAACCTCTGCCGGTCAGATCAGTTGTGAGTGACTTAGCCGATACTCCGTCGACTGAAGCCAGTCAATGGACACCAGGTAGGCAGCTTATCGAAGATGAAGAACTTCCTAATAAAAATATCATTTCCCCTGATTTCTTTTTCCATTATTTTCTTTTCTTTTCTTTTCTTTTTCAAATTCATACCTTTATGGCGGTGGGAAATGTTGTAAAATCTTAAATTATTAGTACACAATAAGCATTTTTTTACAGACGAAAAGTTTGCAGTTGGAAAGTGCACCTGAAGACTGCTGCAAAATTCGAGAAGATAGGGCTGATTAAAGAAACTCCGTACCAATCCGGTCCTCACCAAGATTGAAGATGACATACAGAAGGAGACCTGAGCCGGGCATACGATTCTTTTTTAACATTTACTTTAAAATATAGTGACTTAAATTAACCTAATTATTTATGTTTTACAATGGTTTATAATATAATAATAATACTCGCTTTTGTCATATTTAACAGCTGCAAATAACACGCAGTACAGTATCTATTAATTACCTATTTACTAATTAATTAATTACGTCATATCATATTATAACATTCTTGAACTTATTGAGAGTAGATTTGGTGCGAAGCCAGACCGGAGGGTAACTATATTAAGTAACATAAGGAGGTATAACCGGTTACTCATTGAGTATCACGTTGTCATACTACTAATATTGGGGTGCAGTAATTAAAATGTTATTTGTATATAACGTTTTTTGTACATTGGTCATTAGAACTACCGGTACCGTCCGGACAACAAACGAACTAGACCATACGCATTATTCCCTATGGGTACCAGTAAGCACTCAATAGGTCAGCTCTCATGATTTAGACAATCTGAAACATATTGAGTGATTAAAACATAATATTTTTTATATGAGAAATCTAGAAAGTGACATGATCTAGAAAGTGATAAAATAATTCGAATTTCCTTTAATTAAATAATAATTAAATTATAATTAAACAATAACGAAAGAAAATGTCACAAAAAAAGTCAGTTGATCAGGTTAACCCTCTGGGACAGACTCAGAAACATGAGAGATGGAAGTGCATGCTATGCTCCAAACAGTTTAAAAATAATCCCGAACTCTTGAAAGAAGAGGTTGCGCTCTTAACAAAAAATTGTGTCGTAAGAAGAATTTTTCCTTCTTTAATGTTTTTTCTTATATTTCCGTTTTTTTTTTAATTATTCGATCTATAAAGTGTAAATGCTCAGTATGCTTATTGTCTCATATTTGAACAGCTTATGTTACACAAAAATGATGCTCACACTAAAACAAGTTGAGAGTTTTGAAGATCTCAAATTGTAGACTCTACTACACCTGGAGAGGGGTGGCTCATAAGAATGGTGTACAATTACTCAGTCAACAACTTTATGTTCAAAGCTATTCATTATAGGGGGCTAAAGATGTCCAGGTGCTTATTCACAGAATTTAGAGAAAGAGTCGGGGTGACACGTCTCAAAGTTTTCATCCTACTACCCCCGGTAAGTGTATCTTTGTTTATAGCAGTCATCTATTGTCAGAAGTATCCAGAACTGAATTCGGATAAAATTGAGTTCAGACGTATATACAGTAACTGCTAAATCTAGAACTTTAGTTCTGAAAGATTGTTAAATGTAACTACTACCTCCGGTAAGTGGTTCAGTCTTTGATTCCAAGACAGAGGAAGGAGAGTGTGATTTTGTGGTAACAGAACACTAAGTAGCATCAGAAGATGAAGAGTAAGAACAGGACAGCAGCTGCTGTTAAATACAGCAACCTTCAGCCTTTAATGACTCTTCACTCATCTGAGCTAACTAGCACTCCTGTTAATTGTTAATTATTACTGAATTCATTTTAATTTTCGGATTCCATTTTATTTCAGGTTACACCGAAGACAGAGGAACACATATGCAGTGTTCTACCTCCCGCTATACTAATAATTTTGCAGTTTAAAGATACAATTTTATAATCCATATACACAGAAACCGTTTAGAGGAAATGGAATGAAATGTAGAGCTAAACTTCACATCTAATTTCTTGAATTGAGCATCTTTTCTTTTTTATTTTTCTCTATCTTTTTTCTTTATATTGATCCTCTTTTTACAGTTTTATGCTGTCTTTAAAGTGCTGTTCATCTACTATGGTTTGTGATTATTCTTTATTTTCCTATTTTCTTGAACTCAGCATCATTTCTTTTTGTATCTTTTCTCATTGTTATTTAACTATCTTTCTTTTTTAAGAAGTGTTATTAAATAAAAGTTATTCCAAATATGACTTCCATCTTGGTGAAACTAAAAAACAGCTATAAAATGTTAGTTGAGGGATTGTAAACGAAGGTGACAGAATTGGTAAGATAGAGTATTAATAAATTAAATAAACATATTTAAAGATAGCTAGAGTGAGTTAGATGTAGTCACGTGAGTCACAAAGGAAATAAACAATCCGAGCGACATACGTTGTCAAGTTGTGTCACTCTAAACATGAATTTTTCTTATTCACCTACACCTACGCTACTACCTACTACGTATTTTTTTTAATGATTTATGTTTTGATTTTGTATTCCCCTTTCACCTTCTAAACCTCTCTTTATCCGCTTGTCTAACCTTCTATCACTTTTCTAGTTACTAGCATGTCATCATCAAGGGACCTGATGAAGGCCGTTACTGCCATCAGCAGTGCGTATACCGACGACCTGAAAGAGTTAGAAGAACTCAAGAAACGCCTCAGGCGGGCAGAAAGAAGAATAAGAGACCTAACAGTGGAATTGGAGTACTTGGCGGATCAACAGGCGGCAAGAATGGACACCCAGCCGGCGCCCCCGCCCTATTTCCACAGCCCCACCTCGCCCAGCACAGAGCCATACAGCAGCCCTCATTAGGTTCACCTACACCTACGCTACTACGAATAGGTGCAATTTGCTTCCTAACTTCACTATATTATACCAGATTACAATAGTGTACTACATACTATGTACTCTCTTAGTTGGCTTGTTACTTATGGAAACAAGCTGTTGAAAGTAGAGAATTTGTTTAATTCGTGCTTTGTTTACTTTCACTCATTAAATGATGATATTATAAAATCAAGCCTAGATTTAAATACGTCTTATTTTATAGCAATAAGCGTAGCGGTAGAGACAGACAGCCCGCAGTTAAACAGGCTGTTGTAAAAGACTTTAGAAGAATGGGGAGGCGTCTTGGCATCATAAACGTATGTCCACTGCGGGTAACAAGCTGAGACTCTAGAGGTTATTAACGTCCGTTGGGTGTGTAACGTTCATTATTTAAACAGTGCTGAGTTGTATAATATCGAGCACTTTCTGTTTCAGGTTTGAGCGCAAAACCTGTAGACCGCTCGATCTTATCGATGATTTATTCTTAATAGCAATGAGCATAAGACATAGGCTGAACCCCCTGGGTCACGAAAGTAATTAAACGATTTGAGTTTCAGCATGAATCACAGAACCCTATCTAAACTTCACTAATAATTACTTGAACTTTTGTATCTTGATAGCGAAGGTGACAGAATTGATAAGATAGAGTATTAACAAATTAATAACATATTTATAGATAGATGGTTTTATGAATTTATATTGATCCCGATCATACCACCAGCTTCAAAGATCAAAGATAAAACAGGTGAACGACAGTGTCGTAAAGATGAAATCATTTATTGAAGTTCAGAGTAATCCATACTTGAAGGATTGAAAGATAACGAGAAAGACATAAAGCTGAAAAATGTTGTGACAGAGCAGTCACAAGAGGCGTTGGAACTTGTTATATCGCTAAACAATAGCGTTTCTATGATCAGAAGAGTGCGAACTTATGACGTACTCAATTTCAAAGAGGACTGACAACGGAAAACCTGAGGTGGCCAATTCTAGGTTCGTACACTTGTTTCAAAACGTGTATATATTCTATAGCTATACTTCTACGCATTAAAACACGGTGTTCTCATTCATTTATATTATAGTATAATATATTAATAGTAGAGCTGTACATTAAAATCATTAATCTGTTAAAGTTAATATTTATTTATCATTTCTAACCTGGGGATGAAAGAACCTTCGGGGACATTGTTTCATTACTAAGGTCGGCTCCTGACCGTTTAGGGTCAGGGCTCGAGATGTATTTCAATCTGGTGGAAGCCATATAGAAGCCAATAGAAAATAAAAGTTCTCTTTTTCGTTTGTATTTAACGATATGACAAGCTTTCCTAGACTCGATTGCACTTTTGCGCCCGTGTTATTTTTAAGCAGGGTGTTTGTTTTGCAGTTAGGTATGAACTCCCCTCATTTCGCGACGGAAGACAGCGCACTCACGGACCTATCTATGGCACAAAGAGAACCAATACTGTACTGCTCAAGTGATGGCCAGAAAAAATTGTCAGAGGCGACTCAGCTTCCGAAAAGCTTAGTAAAACTAGTAGAATCACGTGGCCTGACAATCGGGGCGACCAAACCCAGCAAGTTCACGTTCAACGCGGTAAGACGAGTGTCAATAGCTGGACCGGCTTCGGCGTTGTTGGGCGCCCTAAAAATCTTTAAAAAGATTATGATGGCGCCAACCGTCCGAGCACTTGAGGAGGACATTGAAGTGGCGATAAGTGACCTCCGCTGGAGAACAGAAGGGCCGGGAATAACGGTTAACAATACACAGAGCAGGGCTCTTATAAACATAGAAAAAGTGGCGGCACTATCACTGGTGAATATGTCAACAGTTTTAGGCGAAGCGAATGGTAAAAAATGATAAAACTGTCACACGTTTGGACAAGATCAGCAGAACTACCTTAGTGCAAGAAATATAGGCGGCAAGAAATTAAGGCGATTCTGACAAAATCGCCTTAATTTCTTGCCGCCTTAATATCTGACCACCGTAATTTCTAACCGCCTTAATTTTTTTTCTTGCGATTTTTTCATAAGAAATTTTCGTGTGATTTTATTATTTTAAATTTACATGTCGATTTCGTTATTTGCTAGAATTCAATGAAATACATATTTAAAATAAATTAACTTGAGTCTAAATACATTAATATATCAATTAATATTCTCGTCTTCTCCTTCTTCATCAGAGTCATATATCTCCAGCAGCTGCAATCCATAACCAAGATAGTCGTCGTCATCTTGCTCCGTCGTGTCTGGAAAGTGAATAAAAAGCTAAAAGATTTTGAGCGGGAGGCATGTGCATCCTACGTAAGTCGTAGTCTAGCAGATCACATCCAGCATAATCCTGAAGTAGGAGATTTCAAGTTGGATATCCGCTTGTCAGTGCTGAAACCTCTCCATGCCAAAACTTTGACAGCTTCCTACGAGTTCTTCAAAACTGTGGAAGGAAAGAAGTTGATCGCTTCTGGATGGCGTGCGTCTGGTCTCACTGAAGCGGTGAGGAGGTGCAAGGAGGACGGTATTGACTCAAGAATGCTGATTGATCCATTTGCAGCGCTCAGGATCTAACTTCATGTTTTTTATCTCGGCTTCTCGGACTATATTCTATTGAGATTTAAACTGCAGTACATGTGTTATTAATGTCAGTTCAAATTCGAATGTTCGTACAATTTTACATTTCATTTTTAAGCTTTAAATCGAGTTTTAATTTTAAAAAGAAATAATTTTTAATTTTAATGATGATATGTAGTATACATACATAAAAATTCCTTGCCGCGTACAGAATGTGCACTATCATTTTGTCAAATGCAATGAATATACCAATTGACTTGCAGTTTGCTGATGTAGTGGATGTCTACCTAATTTAAAATTATAAACTTAGACGACAGAACAGCAATCACTATAAATATAATGTGCATGCACCATTTAGTTTTTATGTGACCAATGTCCAATATATCGTATTTTTAAACAGATTTCTATGCTTTATAGACTGATAAAAGAATAAAATTGACACTATTTCGACCAAAACTATAACCAAATTTGCGATCAAAAATCGTATTTTTTCCGAAAAAAATATCGCCTTAATTTCTTGCCGCCTTAATTTCTAGCGCCTTATATTCTTGCCGCCTATATTTCTTGCACTAAGGTACTCTTTACCCAATTGACATGACGTGTAGTATCATTATATAATTAATAACGAAATTAATTATTAATTATTGAATTAACATTTTTTTAATCAAGCGATAGTGGTAATAGTTACAGGTCGAGACCGCTAATAAAGATCCACTAGTGATTTTATTTTATTTTATTATTTATTTTATCAAATAAGATTTATTCTTATTATGACTTTCTTTTGTGTATGCTGATTGAACTGAAAAACAGCGTAAAGCTGTTATGTTTAGACGGTGAAATAATCGGGACGCTAAAAGAATTGGTAAGATAGTCTATTAACGAATTAATAATATACCACAAGATATTTCCGGGTTGATCTCAATCTTACTGCGTGTGTAATATTACTATAAATTAATTAATTATTGGATCGACATAAATTTATGTATGTGACACTAAAAAAAGACTTAACCGTTGAATCAACATAGCTAATTAATACCTAGAAAAAAACCTATAATTAATTGTACGATCATTTTTCAAAGTAGTAATTCAAATCTTGAGAAATAATCTTGTTGTAACCCTCATTCCCCTCATCCTCTTATTATTATAGTGTTATTCCATTTGACAGATGTCACAAGAGGCATTGGAACTTGTTACATCGCTAAACAATACCGTTCCTATGGTCAGAAGAGTGCGAACATATGACGTACTCAATATCAAAGAGGACGCTCCATTCTTACTGACAGCAGAAAACCTGGATTGCCCTGTTTTGTTTTATTTAGAGTAAGATTTTTTGTTAAAGTTGGGTGATAGTGTACTCTACGTACAAATAACGTTACAAATTTAGATTGGTAAAACTTTTAAAACAATTTGTTGTCCATACTTCAACGATTAATTTATTGCCATTTTTATCATTATTTCCGTTTTTATTGTGTTTTTATTATTAGTGTTTTTTCAGCTAACAGTTTGCCATTATAGTCATGGTGTACACATCAAAACATGTTACAAAGGTGGAGAGATATTTCCTGAGCTCCGTGAAGAGAGATTTTGTGGGTGGACGATTTTACGTCTACACCTTCAGCTCCTCCTTCGATTTATTAAACTGTTATGGGAATAAATTGGTTCAGATCGAGGTTAGATATAATATTATAAAGTTATAAAGTCTTATGATCAGAAAAACATTTATATACGAAAGATTTCAACATACATTGTTTCAGGCTGGACAGAAATGTGAGGTAGTATTTGATACTAGTGGGGAGTACAATAAACTACTCCTCATTAATCTCATCGTAAGTTAAAAGTTTATTTTAAATATATTTTTACAATTCTAGTTTTTAGGACACTAAGTGTTACATTGAAGCATAACGATAAATAACTTAAATTCTACTTTTTAATCAGAATCCGCGTTCACTGTATAAGCTATTACTATTTATAATTTCAGAAGGAGGCACGGGTGACACAATCCACTCAAAGTCAGACAACCAGGAAAAAGCACAAATCTTCTTACTATAGGACATCAAGAAATCTAACAAAAAAGAATCTCCTACAAAAAAACTCTAACAAAAAAGAGGTTCGTGATTATTATACTTCCTGCTCATTTTTAGCGCAAGATGCAAAAATCACAAAAACTAATGTTTCTCATTCTCCGTGAAAATTACACGTTAATACACATATTATAATAATTTTATTAAAGATTTTGCCGGGTAAAGAGGTGATAACAGTTGGGGAGCTCAAGAAAAAACCTGCTGATTAAAATAGAGTTTTAATCAAAAACAAGTGCTTAGAAAACGTAGGAAATAGCTACTATTTTCTAATTTAGCATCGGTAGATCAAATTATCTGACAGTTTTATTACTGCTTTTATTTGCAAAATGTCGCATGAAACTAAATTATTTCTTCATTTCAGATAAAACAGACCCCACGTTCGATAGCTTTATCGATCTAAAGATGCCAGAGGATCTTCTATGAAGTGATGTCACGTGCGATCATTGCGTTTCTCTTGTCGCAAATATAGACACTTATTCATTTTTGTCCTTGATTTATTTGAATAATATTTGTTACTTGAATTATAGTATATTTGTTTTATCTTCTCAACAAGTGTTTTAGCCAGTTAGTTTCCTTGTATTAGAAGCTCCGAAAAGAACAAGAAGGGGTTCAGCAAGCTTATGAACATCATTAAAGCAGATTTCGATAGCTGCATAAAATGCTATGCTGAGCTGTAGCTCAGCTACAGTGTAGCTGATCACCAGGTATAGTTTGATATTATTTAGTTGAATTTATAATGATGCATTGAGTAATGAAGTGGTGATAAATAATATAAATGTTCTTTCTCAAAAAAAATGTTTTTCATAGGTACCGTGCGACGCATGTGACGGGGTGGAAGAAAAGGAGAGGGCGACACTTCACATGACATTGATAGAGAAGAAAACTGTTAAATACCAGTTTAGCACGGGCTATGCCCTAAAATGGAAGTGTCAGGGCGAGGACTATAAAACCGTTATTTTTTTTAAACATCAAGATCTATCGAAGGGCCCCCTCACTTAGTATTATATATAGCGAGTACGTCGTAAGATGTTGGAGGGGTGACTATCTCGAGATTATTTACATTCATTGCTAGCTTGTAGCCACAACTTTTTTACTTTACTATAGTAGATATGTTGATATTTAAAATCTTGAGCTAAACATA